TTTGTATTTTTAGTAGACACGGGGTTTCACCATGTTTGCCAGGCTGGTCTGAACTCCTGACCTCAAGTGATCCACCTACCTCGGCCTCCTGAAGTCCTGGGATTACAGGCATAAGCCACCGTGTCTGGCCAAATTTTCGTTTCAATTTTATGCGTGGAAATACATGTACATGTGGATTAAGATGTATCATATTTTGGCTGGGTGCAGTGGCTCATGCCTGTAATCCCAGCACTTTGGGAGGCCTAGGTGGGTGGATCACCTGAGGTCAGGAGTTTGAGACCAGCCTGGCCAACATGGTGAAACCCCAACTGTACTAAAAATACAGAAAATTAGCCAGGAGCAGTAGCGCGTGCCTGTAATCCCAGCTACTCAGAGGGCTGAGGCAGGAGACTCGCTTGATCCCAGAAAGGCGGTAGTTGCAGTGAGCTGACATTGCTCCATTGCACTCCAGCATGGGCAACAAGAGCAAAACTCCATCTTAAAAAAAAAAAAAGGTGTATCATTTTTCTTATTGGGGACTATAGTCAAAGAGTTTGAAAGTTACTGCTGTAGAGGCATTCTAAATTCTATTTTAGTACATTTATTTATTTTTCTCATGAAGAATTTTTCATTGCAACAAATGAAAAATCATGGCAAGTCATTTGATGACTAAACAAGGTAGCAAGGAGAATGAGGCTATGTGAAATATGTATGATTATACCTTGATTATTTATATATATTTTAATCACAGAAAAGCTATAAGAGTTTTGACAAAGTGTTTAAAAATACCCAACTAAATCCTATTGTAGATATTATCATTATACTTAATAATATTTTGCATTTATATGTCACCTTTCATTTGAGACTCTCAATCTATTGATTTATTTCCTCAGTTTATGATTCTCAGTTCATCTCAGGAAATCTAAGGCACAGGCCACTGTTCCCCTAACATAATAAAGTCAGAGAATTAATTCAGTCTCCTATTTCCTTTAGAAAGCCTTAATTATTTTATATATGGTAAATGTATATTATGGAGAGAGGATATAGTAAAGATATATTTTATATGTTATTTGGGTCTATGTATTTTACTATATTTCATACAGTAAATTTTATACATTTTATAATTTTTAAACATGTATATTTCTCTCTGCTAGGCTGGCAATCTCTTAGGAGTAGGGGCAGATTCTAGGCTGTGAATCTCTCAGAGCCCTTCAGGCTGTGGGCACAGCACCATGGGCAGCCAGCAGACATGAGCAAATGCCAGTTACAGTAGCTCAGTCCCCCAAAGAAATTCCTTAATTATGGATTCGTGGTTTTACTGCTAGGCTTTTGGCTGCTATCTAAGGTTGCTATATGAAAAAAGAACATATCTGCATCTTTTGTAAGAATCTAGTTATCATGAAACTTAAAGTATATGGTGAAACGATTAAGGCCACATACTGACTTTCATGGCATAAATAGCTTTGCTTTCTTGGGCTCCTTCTTCCATTAAAAAAAAAAAGTTAAAAATAGTAGTTTTATTGATGCTATAAAGACAGGTGTAATCCAAGCTGGATTATATTATACATACATACATATATATATATGTATATATATATATATATATACATATATATTCTAATTTAATAGTAATTATTTTTGTAGGCCTCTAGAAGCATTATGAGCTCTGTGCCTTCTTCAGTGTCTAATAAAGAGGTGGGCCCTGGGGCAAATACGCTGAAGTATTACCGGTATGTTTCCTCTTCATTTGTGTGCTGCTGTAGGGACATACTCTGGTTTTATTGCCTCAGGAAAGAATGACCCAGCAGGTAACAAAAGAGCAAATTATTGGATTTGGAGTTCAGAAACTTGAGTCTTAGCATAAGCCCAATAGATCTGGGAGCTTGAAGAGCCAGGCCACCTTGTTCCTCAGCAAATGAAGAATTCATGCACAAAAAAAGGAGAAGGCCAGAGAAGAAGCTGAGAATGTTTAAATTTGTCTGGGATTCTGAATTTGAGTTAAGATTTTGGAAATCCTGGAGCTAGATGGGACCTGTATTAGTCTGTTCTCACACTGCTAATAAAGACATGCCTCAGAATGGGTAATTTATAAAATTTACAATCATGGTAGAAGGCAAATGATGAGCAAAATCATGTCTTACATGGCCCCAGGCAAGAAAGAGCTTGCGTAGGGGAACTCCACTTTATAAAACCATCAGATCTCATGAGACTTACTATCATGAGAACAGCATGAGAAAGACCCACCCCCATGATTCAATTACTTCCCAAAGGATCCCTCCCATGACACATGGGAATTATGGGTGCTACAATTCAAGATGAGATTTGTGTGGGGGTATAGCCAAACCATATCAGGACCTATCATCACTTCTCCCCATCACACCCTATTCCCAGGGTAATGTTTTCAGAACTGTTGAAGGTTGGGGCTCCCAGTGTCCTCCAACCCCAGAGTGCTGGAGAGATGAAAAACTGTTTTTTGGGTCTGACATAACCCAGGGATGTGCCTGAGTTTCCAGGAACCCAGGTGGAGGGAGACACTAGAAGGTATCTGGTGGGCTAGAGAGTGGCAACCTTGTGGCAGAGCACCAGTCTACCTAGGAGTCTCTGTGGCAAGGCCAGGAGGATAGAGACCTGCATGGATCCCTAAGGGAGGACCACAGGGGAAGGAGAGTGTTTCTGCAGATGTAAGCAAGGAGAAGTGATGGCAACAAAGATGGATTCTTGGCATTGTGGCACCACACAAACCCCTCGGAACCGGAAGAAATCCAGGATTGACCAATATTCAAGTTTTTTCACTTGGCAAAATGAGAGTTTGGAAGAAAAATTAAGTTCAATTATGGCAAATAAAATTCCAATGTATACCAGATTTTGGAGCCCAATTAGAATTCATTATACATAGATGTTTATGATGCTTTATAGCATATGAAGGATTTTCTGATATTTTAAAATTTTAATTCATATTAAGATCTTAAAAGGTATTGTTATTATTTCTGTCCTCATTTTATGCATGTGAAAATGGAAGTACAGAAAGGTTAAGTGACTTGCCCAAGGTCACACAGCTAAGACCTCGTTGAGCAATGACTCAGGCCATGGCCCTGTTCACTCTACCACTCCTGGTGCTTGTGTTGTCCAGTATGCCCACTGAGGACCTAAATGAAAACTTCCTAATTAGGCTCTCCTAAAATGCTGGTAGGTTACCAAAAAGCATTTAGTGTTCTGCACTTTGATGCTCAGATGTGAGGAGAGAAGAGGGCTCAGGTGCGGTATTCTGCCTGCTGTCCAACCCTGGGCTCCCTGGCTGCTTACTCACCCTTTTAATCAAGATGTTTGGTTCTACTATAGAGCTCTGTTGTCATACTCAGAGGCAGCGAGGGGAGGATGTTAATGGGAATGTAGTGGAGGGGCTGAGCCCCAGTCCAGTGGGGGTGGGGAAGAGGATCAGGTCCTAAAGGGCCTCATGACTTGGATGCCCTTTGGATTGGGTGCCCAATCTCGGTTAAGGGGAGCAATTCTGCTTCTCCAGCTTTGTACCTACACTTACCATGTTGTAGATTTTTCTTCTTTTTGTGTCTATCTAGACCGCAAGCAACTTAAAGGCAGGGACTCCATCAAACTCGCTTCCCACTGCATCCTCTACACCTGCCAAAGTGCCTGGCATGTAGTATTAATTTTAAAACATTTGTGGAATAAACAAATGGCTGGATGATTGAATTCTTGGGTACTTGAGTGTCCCCTAAAGAATTCTAGCCCTGTATCCTTAAAGCAAGGTAACTTCTGAGAGGTGCTTGGTCTTAGCTTTCTGTATTTCACTCAAGAAAGCTCTATTAAAAATAGCTACTTCAGTCCCCAGCCACTTATCCTGCTTTTTCCTTTTCTATCCCCAAATCCGCTATTTCCTTCTTCCCTCTTCCCTCCTTCTTCCTCCGTCCTCCCTCTCCCTCTCTCTCTCCTTCTTCTTTTTCTTCTTCTTTCTTCTGCTTCTTTTTCTTCTTTTTTCTTTTTTTTTTTTCTTCTAGTTTTTATCTTATTTACTATTTTATTTAATTTTTCTTCCAACTGTTTAACTCTATTTTGAATAATGAGCAAAAGAAAGAAGAGAGAAAAAAAGAACGTTCTCCTTGGTCAAAGAGTCTGAGGCAGAAACGTAGTTGTGATTTTTTTTTTTTGAGACAAGATCTTATTCTATTGCCCAGGCTGGAGTGCAGTGGCACAATCATGGCTTACTGCAGCAGTGACCTCCCTGAGGTGATCCTCCTAGCCCACCCTCCCAAGTAGCTGGGACTATAGGCACATGACAGCATGCCCGGCTGATTTTTGTATTTTTTGTAGAGATGGCGTCTTGCTGTGTTGCCCAGGCTGGTCTTGAACTTCTAGGCTCAGGGAATCTACCTGCCTCCCAAAGTGCTGGGATTACAGGCGTGTGCTACTGTGCCCTGCCTCTTGTTATTCTTAATCAGCCTTTTAATCAAGATGTTTGGTATATTTTTTCCTTCTTCCATCTACATTTTTAAGAAATGTTTTCTTCTACCTCATGTTTATCAGCTTCCTTTATGCCTCTTTAGAAGCAGGAAGCACAGGTTATAAATCAATATGGGCAAATAGTTTGCTGTCTTGTTTTGAAAAAAATTGTAATTAAAATTCATGGTAGAAAGAATTTCTAAAGTGGCAAGTTGTCTTTCCAAGATATTACCATGTCTTACTTTAGAATTTACTGTCGGTAAACAATCTACATTATTAAATAAGATTCAGCTCATTGGAATCACTGAGTAATTACTATTACTGGGTTCGGTAAGTATTGTTTTGGTGATATTAGTTTTATCACTTATGCTAGGTTGCTTTTAGGAAGTAGCCTCAGCATTATTTGAAAAGAGATGGAAAATACTTTATATATCACAAATCTAGTAAATTTATAATTAAAATAATGCTGCAAATATGAACATTTTCATTGGATAATTTAAAAAATCTGAATGCAATACAGAATAAATAAACTTCGTCTCTTAATGGACTCCTAATTTTTTCTTAAGGCACCGTGACAGAGAAGCTTTTCCCAAAGATTATGATATAGAGGGTCCTGAGAAAGTTAAAAAACTGTGTAATTCAACATATCGGCAACTTGGAACCGATGAATCCCCAGTAAGTAGTAGCTATGACTTTAAGTCTGAAATCTTTGTTGTAGTGAAACATGAAAAAGTGAAGGGAGGAGTGTTTTGTGCAGGACTGTTCCTCATTAACTGTGTTAGTTACTTAGATGACTTAGTGTGTGCTGAAGCAACATTACTTGTAAAATGTGCCCACCTCATACGATGATTGGGTCAATTAAATGAGATGAAGCAAGCTGAGTACATGGCATGGTGCCTGGCACATACAAGTGCCTAGGAAATTGTTCCTGTTGCTATGATGCTGTTGCAACTGAAGCAGCTATATTCTGCTAGAGGTCTCCTTTCACCTCCACAATAACCCTGTGATATAGGTGTTATTACTATCTCTAATTCACAGAGAAGGGAAAAGATACTCCTAGAGCCTAAGCAACTTACTCAAAGTCACACAGCTAGGGAGTGGAAGACAGAGAGTTTGTACCCAGGTCTTTGGTTTCAAGCCTTTTGTACTTATCTTAAGCTGGTGGAGTTGTGAGTAACTAAAACATGCTATTAACAGCCTCATAACATTTATACAATCCAGTTGCAAGCAGAATATTTGTGGCATAAGTGATTCCTGTTTGAATTGCTGTGAGTGGGCTACTGCTTGGCTACCTAGGTGTCTGTCTAGTCAGCATAAGGCAGGAGCTCAACTCCTAGAAGACCCCCAAACTGAGTCCTATAACATTAGGAGCTTTGGGGCTAGCTAAAGACAATTTAGCCTTAGAGGATGGCCTCAGGGCATGAAGAGCTGGTGATTTGATGAGGATGGTTGTACAGGTGATGAAAATATTGGGTTTGTGTCACATTCTGCCCCCAAAGGCTGGGCTAGTTTTAGATCAGGTGTAAAAAGAGGCATAATTCCATATTGGAAATTGTTCTAAAAGATTCTCCATTCTGCAAGGTGATGAGGACAAATTAGCTTATCATGGCAGTACTATTTCCTCCCTTCCTCTTATAGTTGTGGTGGACAGAGAGTAATAAGAATCTCCTGGAGAATGGGGATTTATTGTAAAGTGACAGCTGCCTGGATATGGAATGAGCAAACTTGCAGGAAGTAACATAGCTCTAAAGTAAAACATTTCCATAGCCACCCCAATGTCTCTGTGTTACACGCACACAGAGTGTCTCTGACACTCTATTTCTCTCTGCTCAGGTTTACCTCTTGCTCCACAGCCCAGATCTCAGGGAAATCTGATATTTCCTCAGTTTCCACCCAACCCTCTTCCTTTTGCACCAGGCTGCCTCATGGGTCATCAGCCAGCGTGTGGATGGGGCTCTGCAGTGTGATGCCCAACTCAGTCAACATCCACCTTGCTCCATTCCCTCACAAACCCAGCTTCACCTTGCTCTCTTCAGCATGGGGCTGTGGTCAGGATAAGAGTAAGTTGGGCAAGATAGGTGTTGTTTGGTGTGAACTTAGAGACTTTGGTCCTTAAAAAATATTTAGTTTTGATTCCTGTATAAAAATGATCTTTGTCTCTGGGTTGTGGGAGGAAGTGAGATGAAGTGAACTATGAGGTATAGGAACCACAAACATTCCTTCCCATATATTATATGCATTACAGTGGTCAAACCTCAGGTTTAATGAGAATGTGTAAATAAATAGTACTATTTGCTGTTTCTATGTCTTTTTGTTGATTGCCATTGAAACCCTGTCCTCCACCTGCCAGATTTGGAATGTGTATGAGATAGAAAAGAAAATAGACCTAGGAATCACTATTTCTGATGAAACTGCTATTCTCTATCTTAAGAGTAATTTACATGTTTCTCTATAGACTTTCTGTGTATAAAGCACTGGCCCATCCATCTTGTTTTTCATTCTTCACAACAAAGCTGTAAAGCTGTCAAGAAATATATTGTTATTCTAGTTCTAAACCTAGACTTACAGATCTTAAATGACTCGCCCAAGGTCCCAAGTGTAAAGAGAAGGAAGGGATACTAGCCCAGCACCCACACCTTCACGTGCCAGGTGCGAGGCTGGATGTAGCAAGAGGATGGACAAATTCTTCTTGTTGTTGTCACAGAGTTTTGATGAGGGCCTAAAGACACTCTTGATAATTGGCAGGAACCACATGCCTTAAAGCAAGAATCCAGACCACCAAGGCAGGACCTGCTAAGAGACTAAATTAGGATAAACCAGTGTGAGTTGGTGTGTCCTTGAAGACAAAAGTCTGAAGAGTTAAAAGAGGATTCATATAGTTGTGGGTTCTGTGCCCCTCTTTCTCCAGTTGAGAGGGGTTTCAAGGGAGCCACTCAGAGAGATTAATATGTATGTCCTGGAATGTAGAGGACACGGGGTCCAGGCACATGCCTGAAAACCTGGAGGTGAGAGGCCATGCCTGATATGGCAGAGCAGAAGGAGGGAGTGTACTGCCCTTGGGGCAGGGACAGCAGTGGCCAAGAAGAGACTTGCTTAAGACTGTTATTAAACAAAAGGAAATAACTTGCTGTAAGAGGGAAGGTGCAGTTTGATTAAAACGAAGTTGCTTTGTGATTGCATCCTATTGATGGAATCAAATCAATTCAAGATGTTTCCATTAAAAGTGCTTTATTTCATCCTCTGGACAGCTCTTCAGGCAGGTATCATATATGATCAATGTTAGATAGATGAGGAAACTGAGAACAAGTGAAGCTTAATTACTGGTGAAAAGTCAAACAGCTAGAAAGTATATTAAAAATTAAAATTCATTGTTCTCCTCTGGCTCTAAACGCTAAGATCTTAAAGACTTTTCCAAATTGCCTCATCAAGTACCAATACCAAACTGTTCTCTAGTTTGCTGGCCTTTTTACCCCCCTACACTGCATCTTGCTTGTAGAAAATAGACCTGATTATTTTTTGCTCTGGCTTGGATATTGTATATCTCACTGCATATGTGTTGAGGCTTTGATTTCTTACATCTTAGCCATAACTTCTGTCCTATTTCCTGAATTATGTCCACACACATGCTGGCTAGCCCTATTCCCATCTGTTTCCCCTCCTGAATGCCTTCTTAACATTTTTGGGTTTGGGTGTTTTTTTTTTTGCAAGATTGCTGCTGAGTGGTTGCTTTGTGCGTCTACCAGCATTTTCATTTAGCTGATTGAAGGTGTCCTTGTCCTTAAATGCTGCTGCAAGAGCTAATGTGAGCATCATTTATTTGTAGCAGAGTTTAAAATGGGACTACTTTTGTCTACGTTTTGGCTAAGGCTCTGAAAATCTAAGAACAGAACAATAGCTTCGTGTGCCAAAGTAAAAATTAGGTCACTTATGCAAGATCCTCTAGGAAGATGGTGTGAATAGGCTCCCAGTCACATGAGGGATATACGAGAATTAAAATGCAAGAAGCCTAAAAAGGACTTTGATAGCACAGAGAGGGTTTTGGAAAGAGTGTGCTCTAAGTCTCATCTGCCAGAACCCTTGTGTGCCTTGCAAAATTAGTCATAGGCTCCAGTGACTGGTCAGAGGAAGCGGAGCAGAAAGAGGGAGCCAGCTCCCCTAAAGGTGGAGCAAGGATGTATGAATCCTCGAGCCCAGATGCGCCTTTTGTGGATCCAATGTGGACAACGGGGAAGAAGAAAATGACATGGAGTCATTTCAGAGCCTTTCGAAGAGTACCTCATAGTGAGTACTCAATAAATATTTACAGAAGGAAAAATGGAGAGATGGAAGGGTGTCTAGCTGGGTTTCCAGGAGCTCGGGCAAGACATTTAAGTCTAGCCAGAAGCATCTTGTATCATGGGACGTGCCATCCAATGTTCCCAGAGGTGATCCCAGAGTCTACCAGGACATCCCAAGAAAGTCACCTTTGAATATCCACCAGTGCTAGAGAGGGTCAAAGATAAACATGCCTGGGGGAAACCAAAGCAAGATTACATTCTGCCATTCCTGCATTTACCTCTCTCTCTTCCTTATATCCACATATCCTCAGCATCAGTCCCCAAGGAGATAGAGGGAGGTGAGGAGTAGGGAAGAAGCCCAAGTGGGATAATTGAGAAGAAACCAACTGTGCTTCCTGTTCCCAACATAGTGGGCCAGGCCAAAGTGGCCCCAAGGAGGAGGAATGAGAATCTTTCCATGAAATTTGAAGTTTTGACTGTTATATGGGACAGGCATTTTACTTACCTCAATGAAAATCCTCTTGGAAAAAAGTAGCCAGAGAATTTTTATGTTATCTGAGAGTCACCAGAAATGCCCTGGGACCTGTCTTATAGTTTCATCAAGGAGCGTGAGAAAGGACTATTCCCTCCAAATGACTGTGGATGGGCAGTGATGGAGGAAAAATAGATTGGTTTTCTTTCTGATTGTAGCTACTTACAAGTCCCACTTGTTCAATGAGCCAGTTACCCATTTTTATGTAAAAGAGCAGTCCATTCTTATCATATTTCTCTATCCCCTTTCCGTACTTTAGTCTTCTTCATGACACCTTGTTGGACATATTTTAGACTTACTTAGTTGTTAATCATTTGTCACCTCCTCCTAGAATACAAACTCTGTGGAAGTGGGGACTTTGGTCTGTTTTGTTCTCTGTTTTATCCCCAGTTCCTAGAACAATGCCTGGAACATAGTGAGTGTTCAATAAATATTTGTGGAAGAAAGGGAAGAAGGAAGAAAGGAAGTAAGGGATGGAGGAATGAAGGAAGGAAACAAAAAAAGGCAGGGAGGGAGGAAAAGGAGGAGGTAGAGAGGGAAGACGATAAAGTGAAGAAGTTCCACAGTCAACATTTTTTGAGGCCCCATGACTTTGCCAGGCATAATGCTAAGTACTAGGGTAAGAAACATAATTCAAAACAAGGTCCTTGTCTATCAGGAACTCATGGGTTCCTAGGAAAAATGGGAGCACATAACCACGGTGGCAAAGGGCAAGATGGATGCTATGATAGGGAGAGCATCAGGATGCTGTGAGGTACACCTGAACTGAAATGGGTTGGAGTGAGGTTTGGGTATGATTTCCTTTGAGGTTCTGGAGCTGAATCCTAAAGGAACCATCTCTTGGCAGAATCAGGTTTCAATGGTGG